AAATACCCAAAAAGAAGTTTGTAAAAAATATAATAACATATTTTCCTGATTTAGACAAGGTCTTGGAGAAGGTTCCGTATTATAATTATATCTTATAGAATACTAGATGGATACTTGTTGCATTATCTAGTACATAAAATACTAGCAATTTTTTAATCTGATTTAGTTTCGGCTGCAGATTAGAAAATTATACGTACTTCCTTGCCTTGATTTTTTTTATCTAAAATTAAAACTCTTTCAACCTTTACTATTCAAATTACATTGATATTTATATACGATTCACTAATTGTTACTCATCGTCTTTTTGCTTACCGATCAACATCTTCATCCGTGGACTTCACTGTAGCAAAAATGTGCAAAAAAATCACTAATTTAAAATACAACTCCATCATGTTGATGGCATCGTACAACCCACCCAATTGTTCTGTTACCTACTGGATATATCTTCCAGCAATGAACAACTTATTGTGGGAGGCTCAATCTAATATTAATAATAGCCGAAAAAAAGGGGCGGTTTTACGTTTCAGTTACATGCACCTTTTCCCATTTATACTCTATTAAATATGTAGCCGGACTATATACAAGGGGTTTTATCCTTGGGAAGACCCACCAATCTCAACAATCGTTAGGCCATTTTTTCTAGACCAAAAAAATTATAATTAGGTACATATTTTACCGAGTTTAAAATCCCAGAATAGATAAAATTTGATTTCGTCATTCAACGAGCAAATTTTACACATTTTATGTATATTTGTTAAAGATAAGATGATCAAAGGTAAACATTTCAATGTGATGAATATTGATAGCATTTAGCGTGTATAATCAGAGCAATTTAGTCGATCTTTTAGCAATAAGCAGTGAAGAAATTTGGCCGTTATGGAAAAGATTCGGAAGAAAATAGTGGTGGTGGGTGATGGTGGTATTGGGAAAACGTGTTTGCTGACTGTTTTTGCAACCAACGAGTTTCCCGAAAAGCATCTTCCTACAATATTTGATACTTACGTTAAAGACATATTTGTTGATGAGAAACCATTCAGTTTAGTTCTCTCGGATACTGCAGGCGAAGAAGACTATGACCGACTTCGACCGTTATCGTACTCGAAAACCGACTTAGTGCTTATATGTTATTCTATAGACAATCCCGTGTCCCTAGACAATGTGAAATTAAAGTGGTATCCAGAAATAAAACATTTCCTGCCAAACGCTTACTATTTTCTAGTTGGAACTAAGCAAGATCGGCGGCACAGCAAAAGCATCTCTTTCCATGAAGGGCTGAGGATGTCGAACAGGATCAGAGCTGATCGTTACATGGAGTGTTCAGCAAAATTTTCTTTAGGCGTTCGACCTATTTTTGAAGAAGCCGCCAGACTGATGTTGAATCCCAAGAAACGAGGTTTTCTGCGAGAATGTTTAATTTTATGAAAAGTAAAATTACTGACTAGTTTCTCAATAGAACTATGATGGAAACCGCATTGGTTGTTTTAAATATTTTTTTGCCACCTTACATTTTATTTATTTCTTGTATGCTTGGGTCATATTGTGTCTTAAGACACTCACGTGTGTTAATGCCACTCAGTGTGCCGCGACACCGGGCCTGTTACGGCGCGGCATCGAATATCAAAATTTTACATGCGGGTTTTTTGAGCTCAATCGATTTCTTTCGATGTAAGAAGGTCACAATTGTGTATTTATAAAGTGTTTGGGTCAATAATAAGGAAGAAATCGTCGGATAAAGATCGTCAACGCTCAAAAACGCTTAAAATTTGGCGAAAATGTCTATTATTTCGGGTGTTCGATGCATTTCTCGCGTCCGTGAGCTGAAACTAATGTGAAATTGAAGACATTTTGAGAAAATTTTTAATTTTTCAAAAAATCGACCCCCACCGTTGAGAAAATTTCGAGCAAAAATCAAAATTTCACTTGCGTGTGTTTTTAAGCTCTATCGATTCCTTTCGACGTAAGAAGGTCACAATTGTGTATTTATAAAGTGTTTGGGTCAATAATAAGGAAGAAATCGTCGGCAAAAGATAGTGAACGCTCAAAAATCGCTTACAATTTGCCGAAAATGTCTATTATTTCGGATCTGAATCTTCTACCATGTTTTCTTCTTTCTTTCTTTCTTCTACCAAGGTCACAAATATACATTTGTAAAGTTTTTGGGTCAAAAGCAATCGTCGGATAAAGATCGTGAACGCTAAAAAATTGCTTAAAATCTGTCGAAAATTACGTAAAATTTGAAACATTTTCAGAAAATTTTCATTTTTTCAGAAAATCGACCCCCGCCCTTGAAAAAATTTCGACCAAAAATCAAAATTTCACTTGCGTGTTTTTGGAGCTCTATCGATTCCTTTCGACGTAAGAAGGTCACAAATGTTTATTTGTATGTTTATTGTTATGTATAAAGTGTTTGGGTCAATAATAAGGAAGAAATCGTCGGATAAAGGTCATGAACGCTCAAAAACGCTTAAAATTTGGCGAAAATGTCTATTATTTCGGATCTGAAACATGTTTTTCAATGAGTTCGATGCATTTCTCGCGTCCGTAAGCTGAAACTAATGTGAAATTTAAGACATTTTGAAAAAATTTTAATTAAAAAAAAAAATCGATCCCCACCCTTGAAAAAATTTCGGCCAAAAAACTAAATTTCACATGTGTGTTTTTTGAGCTCAAACGGTTCCTTTCGACGTAAGAAGTTCAGAAATATGCATTTATAAAGTGTTTGGGTCAAGAATAAGGAATAAATCGTTGGATAAAGAAATATCTTTATCATCAACCGATCAATAGATCGGGAACGCTTAAACAACGTTAAGAATGTGGCGAAAATGTCTATTATTTCGAATCTGAAACGTCTACCATGTTTTTCAATGAGTTCGGTGCATACCTCAAGTCCGTGAGCTGAAAATGATGTAAAATTTAAGACATTTTAATTTTTTCAAAAACCTCCACCCTTGGAAAAATTTCGACCAAAAATAAAAATTTTACATGCAGGTTTTTTGAGCTCAATCGATTCCTTTCGACGCAAGAAAGTCACATAAAGATCGTGAACGCTCAAAAAACGCTTCAAAAATCAAAACTTCCAAATTACACTACTTAATTGCATGAAAAATCAGTCGGCGAAGAAGACCAAAAAACTAACTTAAATTCTTTCGTCAGTCCTTGCATACATAAAGGAACAAAATCAGCTTCAAAACCAATCACAGATTCTTGTGAGACAAATAGACTTTACAAGAAGAAAATGTTGCCACTTCATTCATTCCTTTCATGAAAAGCACGCAACCGGCGTCTGTCATAGTCTCTCTTCAGTGAAATCAAAGAAAAAACATTGAACGCGCTACAATGCTTAAAAGCACCGCTAGCGAACTTACGAACCACAGCACAGCGTTTTCCGGTTTTATTTTCCAACATAGAAAAAGTGTGGCGCGCTGTTTCATTCAGCCGTATCGGTATCGCTGTGTGAACACCTGAAAATCCACCGTGTTACTCAGGCCTAATTTGTTGATCTCGCTCGGTGTGGAAGGTTGAACATAAAACACATTCAAATTAATACATTTATTCGACGGTTTAATAAGTATATAAAGTTACTTGGTTGGAAACACATCATACAATCTGTTAACAAAATTTAATGTGGCACGTGCTACCAGTAGCACGCGTAGGTGAAAAACAATTCAGAATAGCGTCAATTGGTTCAATGACATACAACTAGCATTAATAACCAATTTGACTTGCATACGTGATACAATCACTAATACAAATAAAGCCGATACATTTTCTAAAAAAAGTCCAATTGTATAAAGAAGCAAAATATTGAATACAGAATTATGGATTGAAGTCGGGGTTCTTTCTAAGTATCACAAATCCTTCCATAATAGGCGTTAGGGAAGTATATTCCTCGGTAGCAAGCTCAGCTCTTTCCCCATGTGCTAGCAATACTGGAGTTGTATGAGTTTGGAATCCCGTGATAGTCTTGGGCTTTCCCGCTTGTCCTACAACGTCCACCGCCTGAAATTATCAATTATAAGTAAACAATTCAAAATATTCTCAAAAGTTAATCCCTTACCAATCCAACTCGCACTGGTACCGGCAATGGGTTAAGATCCTCATCAAAGGTGACAAGCATTCTCGGTTGCATTGCAGCGGCCAAAGTATACAGCAAGTAGTGCGACTTTCCAAGAATAACTGCAAATAAAATTACATCAAGAAAATTAGACAATTATAATTGCAAGTAAACACTTACTGGTCTTTACATCCAAAAATCCGACAAGTGTGGCCATTAAGCCCGCAACAGCTACGGGACTCATAAGCTGTCGGTCACTGTGATATGGGCTAAGCGTCAACGTTCCTTTGCCCAAATGAGTGAGTCCTTGTGCAATGCGGACCATAAATAGATTGTTTGGATCCTTAGCATGGTATTGAGCCAGTTGTCTCAGCATTGCGGCTAATCTTGCATTATTAGTGCCAGCGCCAACTAGTCCCATGGCGAAAATTGCGTTGTGAGCAACCTCGGCATCACTGTCATGCGAAAATTTGCTTAAAGTATCCAAAATGCTCAGTTTTGGGTTTGAGACGGAAATTAGGCCCAAAGCTAGAGGAACTGCTCTTCGTATGACAGGCTCGCAGTATCGTAGCAGATGACCGAATGTTCTAAATGCCATTTCACTTCCAATATCCTCGCCCATACTGATCAATGCTATACCAATAACAGCGATAGCTTGTCTTGATGACAGATCCTTTTCTTTTTCTTCTGCCTTCTCCTTCTTCTCTTTATCTTTATCCTTCTTATCTTTTTCAGACGTTTCCGAAGCCTCATAGTGTTCAGAGCATATGTGGAGTAATTGCTGAACTTTCAAGACATTTCCTGTTCCAGCGTAGGCACATATGTCTACCATGGTGGTGGCCATGGATCTAAATGGTTCTGGAATCACTTCTAATGCAGCAATAAGAGTATCAATACTCTCCTGCTTTCCCAAATGACATAATCCAAGCCCCAAGGGTAAAAATCTGGCATACGTGTCCTTTTTCAAATCTTCTTCAGACTTTTCCATCAGCGTTTGCATGATAGTGGTTGTAACTTGTGAATTGCCAGATCCCACCGAAATCATTCCACAGGCTAAAGCTGCCATGCCGACCACTTCCATGTTGGAGTTGGGATCAGAGAATACAGGAAAGAGCAAACTAAGTACAGCTTCTCTGTTGGATCCAACATACGCTAGACCCAGGCCTAATATAGCTCCAGTGCGCATAATAGGTGCATTATGAAGAACGTAGTCGCTCAACAGAGCCAGGGCAGGATCACATTCATTCCTTACGCCACAATTGACAATACCACAAGCAAGTAGAGCTCCAGATTTAATATGGTCTTCTGAGGAGTACAAGTATTTGTCAATTGGCGTTAGTCCACCGTCAACATCCCATAATAGAACCAACCCCAAAGAGGCTGTAGCGCTCAACATCCCATGGTCTTTATTTTTATATAGCCATTTATTGCCATCTTCCATCAGGAGTTTGTCCTGCCCAAAGGCAGCGTTAACAAAACCATTGACAAAACTAGCTGCCAAATTTTGCTTTGCAGAATCCACTTGGCTTCCACCAAAAGGCGCTCTAGTATTTTCTAAGTGCGACTTATAAACATCTTCCGGGGTTTTAGGTTCCATGATATCCAACTCTCTAGCTAAGTTTAGGAAATGATTATTTAAATGGCCATTGGCCATGATTTCCGAAAGATCTTCGTACTCTGGCGTACTTTCAGGAATTTCTAAGTAGATTTGTTGTCGACCTAGCATGTAAGCCAGCTGCTTTTGAAGAGGCCTAAAGTAGAATGTGGTATCAACAAAAGTTTTTTGGTTGATAAGATACTTACAAATCTTTACAGGAAAGAAATATTTCCTCAATCAGAGCATGATCGTTCAGTTGCATGGCTAAACGCAAAGCTTGTGGATATTGGTTAAATTTCCTAAATAATAAGAGTGCTGTTTGCAGTAGAGTGGTGTTTTCAGGGTCAGCCACATAAGGGACACAGCTGAAGAAAAAAACGCTATGTAAAACAAAGTCTTGTTGCCTAAGAAGCTTTTACCTAGTCAAATAGAGACACACTCTAGAGTAGATGTTTTCGTCGACATATTGCTCCAAAAGATCAAGCCTTTCGATCTCCATAAGAAGATCGCATGCCTCGGCCTCAGCATTGTGGGCCATGTTATAAGGGACAATCTGTTTTGCTAATTGAATCAATTTGCTTTCAATGTCCTTATCATCCACATCTTTATCGGCCCATTCACCTGCAATTTCGCCTGCCAAGTGCCTAGCAAAGCAAACCCGATTCTTAAATATACAAACGAAAATCGAATTGCAGAGAAAAATCAAGCAAGTTTTAATGTTTACCGGCAATTTACTATGGCTCTGAGCAGGGATAATACAGTAAAGCCCCTTTAATCCGAACGTCCGCTAGTTTGCCTGTCACAGTTCAGGAGAAATTTTAAGGAAAAAGGCCAACTTTTTTGTAATCACAGTTAGGATATCAGAAATTTTAAAGCGTGTATTGGGTCGCTTGATAAATTTAAAAACCAATATGGAATTCGACAGCTATCCGTCACAGTCAACCATTGAAAAAGCGGCTCCCAAAGTCCGGGAAATGCCACCAAATCTATAATTCAGACAAAAGTTGCTTTTCTGGAAATTGATCTGATAGATTGATTGATCAGCCTCAAAGTAAAAAATCAGCAAGGAGAAAATTACATTTATGCCTTGTACAAACGCATATGGCTCATTATAACAATAAATGGGCGCTTGTAACTCAAAAGTTTGGTCACCTGAAAGAATTAACTATAAAACCTTACCTAACATATTCATGTCCCCATTCTCCAATTTTGTCCAAGTCGGACAGCAATCGGTATTTCAAGCACTCCCTACCTTCGCCCATAGTCATAGCCAATACTGACACTATATCAGCACAAACTCTTTGGACTAGAGGGTTTGTAATTTTATCGTAAACCGCTTTCATGGTATCGTAATGGGGCCTCATGAACTTGAGGGGTTTCGGCACAGACGTCATAGAAGTTGTTGAAGCTCTAATTTTTGTCCCAAGAACATTGAGAGCAGACAAATAGAGACTTTCGTCATTTTCCTGTATGGGGTAGGTGCATGTGAGTAAATAGAGCTAGAGCTGTTTTAGGTTAACTTACTGTTAGTCTCTCGACACATAGGGCTAGTTCGTCCTGCAGCTGTTTGTCTTCTTCAGACTGGAATTAAAAGGGGTATTTCAGTTGGAGATAGATTGAATTTAAGAAGTTACCAACCAACTCGTTTTTATCCTCTTCAGTCTCTTTTTTCGGCTCCACTTTTGATGGAGCTTCTGTTTTGGATAGTGCCATTTTGAAGCACTATTTCTGAATTATCGAGTAGACGATTTGCTCACTCTCTGAGCTAGTAGACTGAACACGTAGTAATGAAAATGGCAATTAAATGTTACCACAAACAAAGTATCAATAACCAAACACTAGAATCCAGTTTTGCACCATCATTTTGGAAATTTCAAACGTCATGCTCATGACAGACACAATAGAAAAGTGGTGGAAAAGTGCTGCCAACAGGACAACTCTACTGCTCTAAAAACCTATCCATTCTTGACATATTTGCGGAGTTTTGGCCTGATATTTGGTTTTATATTTCCCATTTTATACCCATATTATCTGTGTTTAATGAATTTAGAATAGTCTAATGCATATGCAAATAATAATCCTCTCCCTTCTCGCTGGTATAATGGGGCTAGTGGCTTTTTGTTTCATAGAAATGATAGAGTTATTTAAAGTGTAGGTTGGTATCCTCGCACACAACTAAGATGTACCTGACATCTATTGCCGCGACCCGAATTTCGGGTGGTGAGATGATTTTCCCAGGAAAATTCAATGTTCACTGAATTTTCAAACAATTTCCTGATTTTCTAAATAAATAATCCGCATTTTTAGGTTAAAATGCAAGGAATGGTGTCCCCCAACTTGGAATTATGTTGGTTTTTCTCATAAGACCATGTTCAAAGTATTTAAAAGCTTAAAAGCCAGTAAGTAGTTCGTAGTGAAAATTTGAAGTTCCCTCGAGAAAATGGCGAAAATTGACGAGAAAAACCCGATGGGAAAAGGGTAAAGAAGTCAGAGGGTTAAGATTATTGATGGTGTAGCCTTGGGAACTTAATAAAAGAAAGCAAAGTAAACATTCAGTGAACTGTTTCCTTCATTTAGGGCTTATTTCGTTTCCATAAACATGAATGGGGTTGGGAAATGTGAATTTTCCCCCTAAGCCAGCGTCATATCATGCAGGAAATTAAACAGCTCTGGCAGAGCTTTTGGGTTGCTAGTTTTGCAAGGTATTCAATAATTTATAGTTTCATTGCTTTCTAGTTCTAATTACATACACTTTCGTTTCATCAAGCTCGGCCTTCCAATGTACGTTATTCTCAATTAACCCTCTGCTTCTCAACCTGCATCATTTTTGTAAAACTCGAGTGTAATGCGAACGCGGATATTGTGAGGACAGACCATTTTCCATGAGCATTTTACATCCTATTGCAGGAAATGGGGGAAGTCATTCCTCCTTAAATTCTAATATGGTCACAATGAACGCAGACAAGGCTGCCATCAAACGTAAGCCAGACCCTTCCACCTCAAGTTGCAGCATTCAGTCTGCAAATGAAGAAATTCCCTCTTTACAACAGTCTTACATTACTGATGAGTCTCCCAACCTTTTGCTATACAAAAGGGTAAACTATTCTATGAGTGGCTAAAGATTAGTTGTTGCTATACAAGTACTTCTAGATGGAGAAAATTATCGAAAAAATGCAGGATGAGACTAGCGGAGTGCCCGTACGCACAGTGAAGTCCTTCATGTCTAAAATACCGTCAGTTTTCACTGGATCCGACCTAATAACGTGGATGGTGAAGAACTTAGATGTCGAAGACCAGCAAGAAGCCCTGCATTTAGCTCATCTAATAGCTGCCCACGGTTATTTTTTTCCAATTGATGATCACATGCTTACGGTGCGGAATGATGGCACTTTTTATAGATTCCAGACTCCTTATTTTTGGCCGTCCAACTGCTGGGAACCAGAAAACACAGATTACGGTATAGTCGACTTTAATTTAACTGAAAAAACAGCTCGATGTCAATCTCTTTTCAGCTGTGTATCTCTGCAAAAGAACAATGCAAAATAAAACCAGGCTAGAATTGGCCGATTATGAAGCTGAAAACTTGGCGCGACTTCAGAAAATGTTTTCAAGGAAATGGGAATTCATTTTCATGCAGGCCGAAGCTCAAAGTAAAGTGGATAAGAAGCGAGATAAGTTGGAACGGAAGGTTTTAGACAGTCAGGAAAGAGCGTTCTGGGACGTTCACAGACCAATGGTTAGTTTATATCCTCATGTCTGTATTTTTGGCTAAATGCTCTCTTGCTCTCAGCCTGGATGTGTAAATACTACTGAAGTCGATATCAAGAAAGCTTGCCAGATGAACAAGCCCAGCAAGGGGCTGAAAAAGTTGGAAATCGGGCCTCCCAAATTGTCGCCTTCTACATCAGGCTTGCATCCCAAAGTAACAGTGGAATCCCTGCACAAGCAAATCACTCTATTGAAAACCCAACTAGAGAGACGGAATATTAAAGTGTCCAAAGCCGCTGAAACGTATGACTAAACTGATTGCCCACAACGTTACGAAATTATCACATTCCTCTTGCAGATTCATTGCCTATTTCGAACAATATATAGAATATGACCCATTTTTCACACCTCCTGAGTATACAAATCCTTGGGTATATGATAACACAGAGTTATGGGAACCAGATAAAATGGCAAATAACATATCATCGCGTCGTGTAAAGAGATGGGCGTTTAGCTTGCAGGAATTGCTGGCTGACCCGATGGGTAGAGAACATTTTGAGCGGTTTTTGGACAAAGAATTTAGTGGAGAAAATTTAAAGTAAGCTATCAGGCAGTATCTATATTGACTAATACTACACTCTTCTGTGTTTGCTTGGTAGGTTTTGGGAGGCAGTTCAAGAGCTGAAAGCGCTGCCACAAAGCCAAGTGCAAAGCAAAGTCAGAGAAATCTGGGACTATTTTTTAGCATCGGATGCCAAGTGCCCCATAAATGTGGACTCCCATTCTTACGAAATAACTAAAAAGAACATGGAAACAGCTGATAATAGATGGTCCTTTGACAATGCCGCCGTAAGCCACACACTCACTTCTGCTGTCCTAAATTCCAAGCATTTTCTCATTTTTTTCAGGCTCATGTTTATCATCTTATGAAAAGTGATAGCTACTCCAGGTATCTACGCTCGGAAATGTATAAGGACTTTCTCAATGGGTCTAAGAAAAAGGTAGGCGATATTTATTTGAAGTTCATTAAAAGATCCAGTTTAATCACAATATTTCAAGCATAAATTCTGTTATTGATGTGAAATAAAATACTTATTATTGGGACTTTTGTGGGCTGCTTTCCATTTATTTCAAAACCTGCAGAAATGCATACTAAATATACGCGGTGGCCCCACGAAAAGGTCACACTCCTATGACTTCTGATTAATTAAGATAAGATAGTAAAGTCCATTTTGATTTTTCAACGCAGATCTTGTTGACTAAAATTGCACTATACGGATTTTTTTTCATAATGAAAACATCAAGTTTTATGGTGTTTTTTGTCATAGGCTGAAGCTATTGAGTAAATCATTTATATTTTTTTTAAGTGTTGATTTTATTTGCGTTCAATGTTTAAGTGTTTACTGTTACATCCAGACAACTATTACGGTAATAACTTGAAGAAAAATTTCAAAAACTGGATCTTTGAATATTCTGCATAGTCCAATTCGAGCTGTGAAAAATACACGTTAAAAAAGCCCTTAAAACGCACATAAAGAGCATACCAGTGAAAGCGACTATAGGATATGATGAAACCCGTTTACAACAAATTAAAACACAGTTACTGGGTAAAGTGTCGCAAATAGTGGCGTAAGCTTTTCGCGGGCCACCCTGTATGTATGTGTCTTAAAAAGATGAAATAATGTATCGTTTTGTTTCAGACATCTGTTAAAGGAATTCGCTCAATAGTATCATTTTCAGCTCGTAAAGATAATGTAATATAGATAAAGATGTTCATATATAATCAAATGAACTCGTTAGAAAAAAATGAGTTAAAACGATCGACAATACAATATTTTTGCCTCCATCGGCAGCTTTTAAAAACCCTTTTGTTGTGACTTCAAAATAGAAACCATCATATTGTGTGATGGCATTTTGGAATACTTCGGTCACAACAATGGATCTTTTTTGCGTGATAATTGAGGGTATTATAGTGACTCAGTATTATTTTAAAATTAACTCTCGAGCTCCTCAATAATATAAAAAAGAGTATTAGTTAGAACCATGTTGGATTCAGTAATTGCGTTGGTTCATTTTCTTGCCAAAGGTTTAATGTTTAGGGTAGTTAGCGACGCATGTACAAACATTATGTGTTGTATGTTAGCAAATATAACCGAAAATAAAACCTGTTGAATATAAATACTGCGTCACTGTAACGATGAGTTCTTTTCAATGCAGTGTCAGTTTTTATTAGCACTGCCAAAAGAAAGAAAAAAACGGGTGTATGCGGAATATATACAGGTTATTATAACGGGTAGGTTCCATATAAAGATTTAATGACATAGATTAGCTTATTCTAGCGTTATATTACAAGAAAAGGCACAAACACGTATGGGGTTTTTAGTAATTCAACGCCCAATTTTTCTGTCTATACGTTTTGAGCAATAACGGTTGGGATTATTTTTGTTTCATGGGTAACGGGTATTTTTTTTCGATTAGATTAAAATCGGTACGACATTTGCTATAATTGGTCAAAGATGCCTGTTATGTCTTTGGGTTATTCAAAAATATTGTTTTATATTCTGCCGCAATCGATTAACCGATCACGGTCATCAACTTACAATTACGTAAATTGTTTATTTCAATAATGAAAGCGCCGTTTTAGATTATTAACAAAATTTTCCGACATTTTTGCAACAAATAATTGTTTTCGTTGATATTAAATGTGTATTCGTCTGCCAAAGATTCGATTTCTGCAAAAAACTTGGCCAACATCAACGCTCTCCACTGGCACTGCAACCAGCGACTATTGCCTGTTTGATCATAAATTGTACAAATTTCCCTAATGTTTAGTCTTCAGTTTCAAAGCCTTTAGGAGATTTATCCTTTTTCTGGTTGGTTTGTTCATCCGTTACGGTTAAAACTAAGATTTACTTTAGGGCTTGTGGGGTACACTTTACTTTGCTAGGAGCGCCAGTTTAAATTTGAGTTTCTAAATATGTATGTCTAATAATAAAGGCATAATCTCGAGAAGGCAATAATCCCTTTTATTATTTTTTTGGTTTGTGACTAGCCGGCGTACATATCATTAATAACGGTATATGAATGTTTTTTCGTCACATGTTAGTCAAAGGTCTTAATTTCTGAACATTAGTATTCAATTGGACATGGGCTGTTGTAAGATCTCTCAATTTGGTTGTTTTTCTTTGTGTTAAAGGGACTGAATGAGCACACAATTCATGTAGAATGGAAGTATGGATTGTATTTTGTTGATTCAAATAGCGTGCCTTTAGGAATAAAAATCTTCCATTAGTTGTTTTATTATATACATTTGTATTATTTGTGGACTCATAGCTTTTGCTATTATGTAGTGTTAATATAGGGTCATAAAGCTTTGGGCTTTTTAGTAATATTTTTTAGTAAGTCATCTTCACACGACATGTATTGGAATCGTTTTCATAATGGAGCACTGAATTTTTTAAATTTATCTAGTCAAATTTTCAATGGATTACGTAATGTAAGCCAGCTAACTCATTGAAAAATATTACTTTTAAATTAAGGGGCTTTTTAATTTGGCCTTTATTCACGCACTAAAAATATGCTTTAAAACTGTATATGCTATAAAGAAGTGATAAAGCTGCCTATATATACATACATATGTTGTAGCCAAGTTGATATTAATTATACAGTGTTGTAAAATTTGTAAATATTGTTCACTGGCTTTAAGCTTTGTGTATAATCATATATGTGCCCTTATCAACTTCACCGATTATTTATTAAACAGCTGTTTTTTCACTGCATAACAGCACTAGAGTTACCAATAGTGAAAATAATTTGAGGCACTGTGTAGGGAGATGTAGATGTTATAGTGGGCGTTATGCATTATTTCAGCAATAAACAGGATGGTCATGAATTCTTGACAAACTTTACTATCATATGCTTGAAAGCGCATCTTTCGACATATCAAAAAAAATCTTGTAAGTGATACAATTCGTCGAGCTTTTTTTAGTTGCAATAATTACATCGGCATCAGATGCTGATTGGGGCTTAAAAAACATTTAATCGAGTTGTTTGCTCTTTTCTTATACTCTTGTTAAGATACCGTTATCTAACAATGGCATTGTACAAACCTGATAAAAAATTCGTAACCATCTGATATGGTTTTGCTCGGTGTTGTGTGTTATGCACTCGACTCGAAACATTAAAAGTATGCACTAATGACACATACAGTAAAAAATAAAAATGATTTTGCTGTTTCGCAACACTACGTAGAATATCGATGCGGCTTTTTACGATTCTTCTCCATGGTAGTTGTCTGGTTATATGACAGGATTTGCCGGCCTTTTAAAGTTGACGACGTTTTGCCATATTTTTAATATCATAATATCGCATGTGAATGATTGTCCTGAGGATGACTACGCAGATATAACGAAACGTTGTCAGTTGTAAAAAACCGGGTTTGGGTTTACGCCTATCGAAATCCCTTTGTATGAGCAGCTAGAATTTCTTGTGGCTCGATTCTTTAATTGGCGCATTTGAAAACTGTTATTTGCCAGTCCCACTGGGTATCACTGGTGCTATTTTGATATGTAAAATTTAATACTGTCACTGCCTTAGTAGTTTAACGTCATTTGATAGTGGATCATAATACAGGATTTCTTGTTCATCCTGTGCATATTTTTAGGTTTAGTACTAAAGTAATGAAACGTTAATCAAAGTGTGTGTTTTTAGCGTCTAATGTTGTACAACTTGTGACCATTAATGCATAAATTGTCTATACTGATTGTTCAAAAACATGCAGTTAATTGGAGCTGCGTGTTTTGGAGATTAGCTTAGAATTAAACTTTAGGTGATTTTAGCATCAGCTTAGGTCTTATTTATTTAAAGTACAAATTGGGAAAATCGAGTAAAGACTTATTATGTTTTAGAAAAATTGTTTTAGTTATAGTTTAAGATTTATTGCGTAAGTTAACTAGGAGCTTAGAAGATATTACATCTGAACCATACTAGCTTTTTAGATTGGACCATAGGGTCCTGTCGCGAGCACTAGAAAAGACTTATTAGACACGCTAGTATAACTTGTTAAAAATATAATTTATGTCCGTTTGTATAAGTACAAACATAATATTTAGGCAGATGATTCTAGCGCCGGTTGTTCGCTGCACTTCAGTGTAAGGAATGTTAATATTCCGTATATTTTTTCGACAGTCAGTGAGAAATATTATATTTTTGTAATATGGAATATTAATATTCCTTTTTAGCAAATTGACTTTAATGTATATCTGTAAAAATAGGGATCAACAGTTATTTGTAATGTCTTATTTTCGTTGGCGATTGATTTGTACAGCGCGAGCAGCTGACCGCACCAAAAAGAGCAAGCACAATGTTTATATTAGAGTAAACCCTTATGTTGTTTGGAAAACACAATATACTTTAATAAGTATGTACATTTTTTTCAAAACATTGTCAAGTTCCCAATCTACGAAATCTGAACTATTTGTTGAGTTCTGGAACTCTCAACACCACATTTCCTAGCTGAACTCTTACCTGATTTGCTCGAATAGTTCTACATTGTGTATTGTGGTGGGATGTATTTTTTCCCACTTGTAAAACATTCCTAGTGAGCCAGTTCTAAGTTCGCCATTATACATTTGATATAAGCCCTTTAGATATCAGAAAAATCACTACACAAGTATATGGAATCGAATTTGCGGCAAAATACTTTCAGAGACCAGTGCGTTTGTATTAGAATAATATGATTTCAAAATAATGTACAGACGTTTAGAAGTATTATGTTATAAAGGAATTGAAATTATATGTATGTACTTATGTATCGAATGAGTACGATATACATATTAGAATTCAAATAGAGAAAAATGTCCAAATCCAAAATTAGAATGAAATTAATTATACAAAAAACCTATTAAACCATTATTTAAATATACTGATTTTTTTATTATTCCCTACCCTACTAGTATGGTGTTTTTCGTAATTGTTTATTTTGTGTGACGTTTTACTCCCTGACGAAATGTTTTCGTTTGTTCCTTTCTCCTTAAACTGTTAGAGATTTTCAGTCATCACAGAAAACTAGCCAGTTTTTCGGGCTGTTTGGCCGCGAATGCTTAACTCTTTTGAACTGTAAAAATACAACAGAAAATTTCCAGATCGACAACTAGAAATAAGTAGGCATTTTCAGATAAATATCACTTTATTTCCTACTGATTGTGTATAATATAATATCCTAATATAGGTATATAGTGTAAGTAAAAAAGTCGTCCATAGCCCCATTTTCAATAAAACAGCAAATCAAAATGGGATATGGATACTTGACAATCTTTTATTCTTATAAAAAGTATCACAATCATCTTTGTCGAGGTCTTACTCAACACTTGCTCAATATAAGATAAATGCATTGGGTGTTGCAATTTATAAAAATTATTTTCGCGCGCTTTTTAAAAATTTTATTAAGCATTTGAACAGGGCCGTATTGAGCATTGGTTATCATTGCGCGTAATAGTTGAGTTTCCGTTTAGAAATATTCAAGTATTAAAATTAAATAACAGCTTGTGCCAAGTAATTCGAAATACAATTTTTAATAATTATAAGATAATTTTGCAGGAAATAAACAAACTGTTGGTGTATGATGCACTAAAACCTCGAACAGACTATAGGCGCTTGATATTCTAATGTATTAAAAGTAGGGACTGAATTGTTTCTCGCAAGATTACACAATCATTGTGCTTGGGCTTCCTATTTTGTTCAATAGGAACACTAAAAAATTCAACCATATAGCACTTGTCTACGTAATTTTTTTATTAGAAGTTCTACCATTCTTTGGTTATCACCCATTTAGTTACATTTACCTGGAAGTTGACTTGTGTTCAGGTTAATACTTGTACTATGCAAAAGAACGAAAGCTCTACGAAATTTGATAAATTAATTTTCGTCAATCTTCCAATGATTTAGTGGAAATAAATGAAAACTGTTTCATCTACCTACGGAATAGCGAAGGCAAGGCATTTGCGATTTTTTTACAGTAATTCTTAATACTAAGCCAAACATCAGCTATTATACAAAAATAAATACCATAGGCTAGGTAGCTACTTTATTCAACTCTTAATTAACCAACCTAATTGAGCCATTAACAGTGAAATGGCCAAAGAGGGTAGTTTTTGCTACTGGTGTAACTCCCTAGCCTAATGGAGAAATTACAATCGTCAGTTTATCACTGAAGGGCAATTGCCTCAAATCTTCCATTTCCAGTGGTCATTTTCACTGAATTAAAACAGTCGATTGTAAATATTCTTTTGTCATTGCTGTATTTTTGTTCAGGTACAAAATCAACCTTCTCGCAATTCACTTGAGGACATTTCGAATTATTCGAGGCATCAATCGTAAAAACCAATAACAAGAACCAAAAATAACAGCATTGTTTTCCAATAACAATTAGAATAGTTTAAATAGATAACTTTAGGCTTCACCTTTTCAAGCTTAGGTATATGTGAGTATCTATACAGGGTGATTTACGTAGACCGTAGAAGTTTTCCAACTTTGCTGCAGTTGTTTTCGAAACTTAAAATTTTGCGCCGAAGCCATTTGAAATACATTTAACCCTCTGGCTGTACATGGTGCATGCAAAGTATAATATAACTTTCTTATTTTAAGTGTAAACCCTTATTTTTTTAGCATGGTTGGATTGTCCTTCCTATTGCCTGGTTTTGTTAACTTATCTGTTACAGTTCTGGATATATCTCAATTTTATACAAAGAAAACCGTCTAATGCACGGTCTCCGTAAATCACGCTGAGAATATATTCAAGATTTGACGAGTTGTTCCTGTGTGCTCATTATATAATTTTTCAATGATTAATTTCGTTTCCATTCAGATCTTGAATATTTTTCCATAATTCCATTGCATAAAGATCATTAGGTGTTATATAGCCTTGTCGCATTAGTTAACAAGATGACAATAACATGGAAGATAAATAAGTGGAGATATGTAAGATGAAGATGTATAATTGGCGAGTAGAGAAACCCACTCTAAATAATATTCTTATATGCTTGATACGCACTTAGTGCACATGCAGATCATGGTTGATCTGAAGCCCCAAGGTGTCGTTGGTTACCAAAAGAAAATAGAGAGTGTTTTTCATTCGGAAAACTCTGGATATAAGTACGCGCAATATCTTTGCTATTTCCAGTTTCAGTATCCACCAGTCTGAATTCAAACCAATATATTTTTGAGGGCTATTAAGTTCGTGTTGTTATGCCTAGTATAATCCAACGACCAAGCAGGTTCATTTTTCTTCGTTTGCGTGTGCCATACCAAAATCTGGAAAGCGAATTCCTCGATTTCAATCAAAAAATCTCAGCTGGTAATTAGTGCGCATCAGACTTACTCTTGTACAGTTGGAAGCCAATAATTCCGCTTCAAATGGCTCGAATGGTGCAAGACTCTTCAAAAAACCATCTTCTTCGAATCCTGGCTTATATGGCATGGAAGCTTGAGGTCTGGTTAACAAAAACTGAACAGAAACTGCAAATCCTGCCATGTCAACTGCAAATTTTCGGCCTCCAATCCAACCATCGTAAAATCCTCTGAATGTACCATTCTTCACTATCGGTGAACTCACTCCTGCTTTGGTTATCAATCCCACAGGAAACATTGACACTGTTTTGGTGTATCGAATCTGAAATGATTAAACCACTCAGTGTGGCGGAACAAACTAATTTTTCCAGGATTTTCAAAATTTCATTTTGCTGAGAATAATTTTTAATTCTGGTAACTTGGAAAGTGGGATTAAGTATCAATAAAATCCGGTCTGGACACGTTTGTCCAATAAAATTCGAATGGAACTCAACGAGAGTCTCACCTAAATCAACGTTTTTACTGCCAAGTTACAATTTCTTCCGACTGGAAAACCGTTATGTATTAGGCAATAAATCGGCGGCTGCAATAAATGTATATATTTAAAATGTACCGAAAATGTCTATTAATTCGGATCTGAAACTTCTGGCATGTTTTTCAATGAGTTCGATGCATTCCTCGCGTCCGTGAGCTGAAAACGATGTAAAATTTAACACGTTTTGAAAAAATTTTCATTTTTTCAAAAATCGACCTCCACCCTTGAGAAAATTTCGACCAAAAATCAAAATTTCACTTGCGTGTTTTTTTAAGCTCTATCGATTCCTTTCCACGTAAGACGGTCACAATTGTGTATTTATAAGGTGCTTGGGCCAATAATAAGGAAGAAATCGTGGGCTAAAGATCGTGAACGCTCAGAAACGCTTAAAATTTGCCGAAAATGTCTATTATTTCGGATCTGAAATTTGTACCATGTTTTTCAATGAGTTCGATGCATTAATCGCGTTCGTGAGCTGACAATAATGTGAAATTTAAGACATTTTGAGAACATTTTCATTTTTTCAAAAAATTGATCTCCATCCTCGGAAAAATTTCGACCAAAAATCAAAATTTCACTTTCGTGTTTTTGGAGCCCTATCGATTCCTTTCGACGTAAAAAGGTCACAAATGTTTATTTATAAAGTGCTTGGGTCAATAATAAGGAAGAAATCGTGGGCTAAAGATAGTGAACGCTCAAAAACGCTTAAAATGTGCCAAAAATGTCTATTAATTCGGATCTGAAACTTCTGGCATGTTTTTCAATGAGTTTGATGCATTTCTCGCGTCCGTGAGCTGAAAATATTGTGAAATTTAAGACATTTTGAGAAAATTTTCATTTTTTCAAAAAATCGATCTCCATCCTTGGAAAAATTTCGACCAAAAATTAAAATTTCACATGCGTGTTTTTTTAAGCTCTATCGATTCCTTTCGACGTAAGAAGGTCACAATTGTGTATTTATAAAGTGTTTGGGTCAATAATAAGGAAGAAATCGTCGGCAAAAGATAGTGAACGCTCAAAAATCGCTTAAAATTTGCCGAAAATGTCTATTATTTCGGATCTGAATCTTCTACCATGTTTTTCAATGAGTTCGATTTACCTCCCGTCCGTGAGCTGAAAATGATGTAAAATTTAAGGCATTTTGAGAAAATTTTCATTTGTTCAAAAATTGGAAAAATTTCGATCAAAAACCAAAATTCGCAAAATTGCACTACTTAATTAATTGCATGAAAAATCAGTCGGCGAAGAAGCCCAAAAAGTTTTCTCTTCAGAAAAACCAAAGAAAAAACATTGAACGCGCTGCACCGCTAGCGAATTTACGAAACACAGCGTTTTCTGTTTTTATTTCAATATGGCAAGCGTATCGGTGTCGCTGTGTCAACACCTGAAAGGCCACTGTGTTACGAAGACCTTTCACAACTCAGATTAATGTTTATGATCCTGACTGCTCCATAGGATGTCTCTTGAAAATCAATGCCTTAATATTTAAACAGTAAATAGAAGGAATTTCTTGCGTTTTTACACTTGATTTTGGTCAGTGAAGAAATTAGGAGAACCTAACGGGGTACTTTCGAAGAACACTGGATAACATCCTTGAGAATGCGGCCATTGAAGGAGAGATAAAAATTGAAGCAATTTTTTTAAACACTAAAAGTTTTTACCTCGCTAAATAAATCCAAATCATACGTATTATCGTCATCGGCAAAATAAAACACTCCATTGTAAGCATTCTCGCGTATCCATTCCAGGCCTTTGTTGCGGTTGGATACTCCTCTTGGCCTAGGACCCTTAGTTTTCTTTTTGTACTGCACTGGCATCGGCGCTTTAAACACAAAATGCAAAATTAATACTTCGACGAAGAGTATTTGTTCTGGATTTAGGTCATCGACTCCACGACTAAGACTTACCTATCATATAATGGTACCTAATTCCGGATCGTTTCAAAATATCTTCAACCAAACCGTTAGTACTGTAAGCGTCTTCAATCACAAGCCATATTAAATTTGGTACTAGCATTAGAGTGTGAGACATCCGAGTCAACTCGGCCAGTTGTTCTGGCCTTCTATAGGTTGGTGTTATTATGTACAAGGGAGGAAGATCAGGTGTTATTTTATTTGCTATAGCTTCACACTGGAATATTTTAGAGGTATGGAAACAGCAAACTTAACATCTTTTCTGGTTTAAAATCGAGTGGCAATGTTGAGGTTGATGGTGCAGACAGTGGAAGTCCGAATAAACCGTTTAACCTCAGCAGTGCCTACCGCTTTTGAATACTTTTATTGGGACTTCGAAGCTTTGCGATCAAACATCTTTGTCAGACAATAGAAGTCCGAATAAACCATTCAACGACGACTTACTTTACCGTTTTAATACTTACTGGCATTTTTCGGTCGTAGGAATATTCATTAGTAGCATAAGGAGAATAAATGTGGTATTGAACGAATAAAATTGTTGCGCATACAAATACTATAAGGTACAGTTTCATAGGAATCTTCATAATGTCGGAAGCTATCTCTCCCTACAATAAAACGATGCTTCAAAAAAAGTTTTTAAAGTTACGTCGTTTCGATTGAATTTTTGATGGAACAACTACACAAATCAAATATAAACACTATCAATTGAAGAATAAAACAAAAGATTGCCCAGAAATGAACACTCGGTTAATGGAAAAACTTACACAAGCACGGAAAACATGTTTACAAATCATTTAGAACGCCGTTTAATGTAGACACACAAGAAGTCACTGACTTTTTTATTCATTTCAATTTCTCATTTATCAGTGAGAACTTCCTCTGCAGTTTCCTGTGGGATTATCAAATATATACCGCGTTAATAACTTGCATTTCACATAATATCTTTCATACGAGTTGAAACCTTTTGTTGCCGCTTTCGGTTTATTCGGATAAGTTCCAAACAAGAGAATTTTAACTTGTCACTATTAATAGCTTTTCCGTGTTTTGGAATAATGATCTGCATCCGTACCATTTGGTCGATACTTTGCGGCGGATTTGTATCTCGGGTTTGCGAAAATTAAACAATATAAAAATAATTTTAAGATAAAAAAAATCAATGTAAAAAAATTGCGAACTTGCCTGCGACTATTTTTCATGGACTGGATAATTCCATCTGAAACACGCTTACGGCTTAAACTGCATACGAACTAACAAAACACCATGAGAAACGTAGATTTGGGTACGCGGCTAATTGCGTTCATAGAAGCTGTTTTAGTAGGCTATTTGAATAGCAAGTTAATTATGTGTTTGTAACAACAATTTCACTAACTACACAATTAGCACAGACATTAAAGTAGAATATTTACCTTTGCATGTGCCAATTGATAAACTACACCACATTTGTAATAAGTTAATGATTTCAATAGCCAGTATATTTTAAGCAAGAAAATGAAAACTTGAAAATAACTAATGTTTAAATCACAATAGCTTTGCCTTGATGTTGACCGGTTTAAGCGCAATCAAATTGTTTACCCAAAGCTTTACCAGGCAATTGTTTCATTAAATTACCACGTTCGATTAAGAGAAATTTGATAAGATTGTAATGCTAAGACACTCTTTAATATTTGCATACGTGTGATTTTTTAAGGAATTTTGAACATCTTCTGAAAGTGTTTCTGTCCAAGTAAGTATGTCTGGTTTTTAAACGCAAACCACCCCCGAAAACCCAATGCTTTCGCTAAACTGTCCACATAAAAAAATAAAAAAATACGCTGCTTGTCAGCGTCTATTGGGTGGCGACAATCCAACATTTCTTACCTTTTTCTTAATTAGATTAATATCTGAAGAGAGGGAATGGACAACCATCTCTGAAAAATTCTGTTCTGGCTGTGCGTGTGAAAACAACAAAAACCTTAACACTGTGACATGCCTGAATTTTTAAAGGCGTCTTATAGATAAAGCAAATTTTTTACACCCTCACAACATACCGGAATGAAACTAAAACTGACAATACCTTCATGCACGTTTGCATATGTCTTATTATTTTACTGAAGTTATTTAACGTGTTCACAATTTGATGATATAATGATAACTTAATTATCTTATCTTAACACTTGCAAAATGAAAAGCTGGATGCAATAGCTACTCCACTAGTTATATGCAGGTGAAAATGCACAATTTGACTTAGATTAGTAGATTCTTTTAAACAAAATCTTAAAATCGTTATTCTTCTATAACGCCGTATGTTTTAAATATAAAACAGGGCTAATATAATTTTCCTTCCCGAACGTAATGCATCTTTTCGAAGAATCTATTAGCACAAACACCACATGTATTTTCACATCATCAATATGCGAACTGACGGCCTGGAAATCAGAATGAGTGAATCTACATTTCTTTTGTATGCTTTGTTATGGAGATTTAGATCTACTGAGCCAAAAATCTATGTAAATTTATATATAGCGAACCGGTCACTAGCTTTCGTATTTTATGGAAAACAGCCAGATGTTTTAAGCTGACTTTCGAATTTTTTCTGAGCTAGATTGCACGTTGTAAAACGTTACCCTGCTATTTCCTAGCAGAAGGATGGAGTTAAAATGCAGCTATCCAGTTTTTATTGATCAAGAATATAATCTAATTCTGATTCAATGCGGCTACTTTTCTTGCCAAAAGCACCGAATAATAAATCGGTTTCCAATTCCTTAAGTATATAAAATTCTACCTACCAGCAAGTTGTAGTATTGTGCCTTGTTATTGTTCTTCTATACTTGTTTATCAACATCCTTCAATGTTGATGGATTTAAGTACCTGGAAATGTTGCTTTAAAAGCACCAGTGAATCACCAAATATTTCATTTTGACACTGTTTGTACATTCATACAACAATGTCGATATGTATTATCACAAGATTTGCCGAAACGACTTTCCTGACAATTCGAGCAAAGGTTTATTTTGTCACTGGCGTGCTGTGGACATTTTGATTAGCATGTCGTTCCCCTTTTCCTGTTTCTTCCTCCCCTACGTTAAGGGTTGGTCGATAATAACATTTTCCCGATCCCTTCAACAGTTTGTTGAGTGTTTTACGTTCAACCTGGAGATGGCAGTATTGAGGACATTGAGGGACTGTACTCCTCCCCATACAGATGGATATTGAGGTTTGATTATCCAGGTTTGAGGGGCTTCGGTAAGTTGTCCATTAAAATGGTTGATTAAATTTGAAACTAGTGTATCTTGGCACATTGATTTTTGCTGGTTATTTAAAAATTCACTATTTTTCATTTCATAATGTGCCAGTGTATGACACACACGTACTTTTGGCGACGGATATTACACTATTTTGTAACAAGTCCCAGTGAAATAAAACACTATTGAATGTAGTAAATAACATTTACTCAATACTATTGTTACTAAAATTATTTTACAATATATAAGTTTATTAAGCTCTCCCACTCGAGTCACTTTCGTCTAATTAGTATTGCACGATAACATAAGAGATCAATATTTCCTATTTCAAATAAATGGCATTTGAAATTTGCTTGATTAAAAATTGGCAAACATGCCTACAATACACAAGTACAGTATTATACAAAATTAATCCAAAAGCATTTACAGGAATGTGGTTTATTTTAATTTGAACTGTTTCGACCCAACCGTTTCCACATCAGAGGAAATTGCATCGTTGTGCAAACCCTCAAATCTTCACACACATCAAAGCAAAAAAATCACAGAACTGTTTTTAAAATTTCAATTTAAATAACCTATTAATGTATGTAGATATTGAAGAAATACATTAAAAGATAAGTAATATGAAGTCCCCACAAGAAAGATTGTCCGACCTTCTAGCAGAATTAGTAATATTTAACCACGGCAGATGGACACAGAATTTCTTGTGAAAATAATACATACCTTTAAGTGGTGTAAGTATCTTCATAATTTGGTTAAACTTATTCAATATGTACATATTTATAAAGCATCGCTTTCAATTAATTGTAAAATGATTGGTCGTTGTATCTTTGATTCACGACATTAATCGAGAAGCTTAGTAAAGCTCCATAATTTTTAAAAGGAAATATTGCTACAGCGTCAGAAGGATGACGAAATTAAGCCAAGTTAGTACAGGGGTCACAATAGTTTGGACGTATAGACAGGAACTGACATAAATGGGCTAATAAAATGATGAATATCCCTTTCAGCTGAGTAGATTGCACCATTTGATCCTGTAGGTGGCATGTTGGTGTAATCTGAAGGATCCAAGTTGGCTCCAGAGCTTTCATGGAGCTTCCGCATGTGCTTTTTCAGGTCGAAGTTTCTGCAGAAACCCTTGCCGCAAACTCGGCAGGTGAAGGGTTTTTTATCGTTGTGCGTGTGCATGTGGAAGGTGAGGTTGTAGACTTGGTGGAAAGCCTTCGAACACACTGTACATTTATATGCCTTTTCGCCACTGTGGGTCAATTTGTGGTTCTTGTAGTTGCCTTTCTGGTGGAATCCTTTTCCGCAGAACTCACAAACAAACGGCTTGTAGCCAGCATGGATTCGTGCGTGAGTGTTGAGGGTTGAGGATCTGTTGAAAGCCTTTCCGCAAGTGTGGCATTTGTGAGGCTTTTCGGAAGTGTGGATGATTTTATGTCGACATAAAGTTGACGCTTGTCTGAACCCTTTTCCACAAATTTTGCATACAAACGGCCGAGCGCCTGTATGTACCGGCATGTGTCTCGTTAGATTATAATGCGCATTGAAGACTTTTCCACATTCTCCGCACTCGAAGCTTTTTTGTTTTGGAGGACTGAGCAGCGCAGTCGAATTTGATTGCGTTGTCGCATTATTGTTATTCGAAGCGGATTTTGCTGATGTTTTCAAAGGCCCTGTTTTGCTTGGGGCGAATGGTACTGGAGGTTGAATCGACGCGGTATTTCCACTTGGCTCCTGCAAAGTCGGGTTGTATAGGGAACCCAACATAAACTGACTCGGATGGTAATAAACTAATGGGTAATTTTGTAACAGTTCAGGCGACCGAAGAACATTGGGCACATATTTTTTAAATGCGGACTCAAATGCTGACGAGTACGGAAAGCCTAAACTTTTATCCTTTTCGGCCTCTTTCTTCTTCTGTTTGCTGTCTGGTTCCATTATCTTGGCTATAGAAAAGTTGAGGGCCCTTGAAGGAGGTGGAGCGGCTGCTTGGCTTTCGCTGTACAATTTCGTTGACGTCTCTGATGAAGCCATACTTTGTGTTTTGTGGCACATCTGAAAATTAAATTAATTTTTATTCTCCTAATCAATGACAAAAATGAGGCCATAAACTTTTCATTTTTTAAATTCTGTTTATTTTATTGATGGTGAATGATGGAAAGTCGATCGCAGTTGGAGCAGTGCAATTTTGAACTATAGTCCTGACAAGTTCGGAAATTTCGGGCCAAAAAGTTAAGTGAGTGAAAACTGAAATTCAGAACATCGAAGATGAATATATTTTCGCTGAAAATCCGGAATTGAATGAATTGGTTTGAATAATCTTGGGCTGTTGAATAGAGGTCTGAAGTGATAGACAGCTTTTAAGGCAAGGCGGGAAACACGCACACGCCCCATTGGTTTTATGTGATTGAGATTTTAAATCATGAGAAGTAAAACGTGATATTGTGGGCATTATTTTGCGTCAAATCGAAAGGCGGTGCGAAATAAGTGCATACGCAATCTACCGGGAACAATAACTTAGGGTAAACGGCAAACTGGATGGAGTTGGAATCGCGACAGCCTTCCAATATATGGGGGAATGAGCATAAGTATTTTAATGGACTCAACCGCCTCAAACATCTGGTTTAAAATTAAACTCTAATTAATCAAAATATTAATACAGCAATAGTGTCTTGGAATCAACTTCCACAATTGCGGCTAAAAAACATAAGATTCATCTACCATTCTTGTGAATTTTCGGGCGTTCTTTGTTTAGTTGCAGTTGTAGATAAGTTCTATACGGTTGAGATGGAACATTTTTTATTACGTAGGTATTGATAAGACGTGGAGGATAAAACCGTTTTTTTTTTCAGATGGAAATAAAGCACGGTTAACCCAATGTTTTCTCAATACTTGGTTTCCTTAAAGGTTTGGGCTGAATTTTAACTACTTAAAGTGGAACTTGTGATTTTTGCGACAAAACTTGTCCGCGTTTATTAAAAACTTTATTGCGACCGAAACAGCTACGATTCAAAGGTGTTTTTTGCAGAAGTAAATAAACCATCCTTTCTATTCCATGTTTCCTTAAAGTTTGGTTTTCTTAGCGGTTTGGGCTAAATTTTGAGAGAGAGTAGAACTTGTGACTTTTTCGACTAAATTTATTCGCGGTTTTTCAAAAATGTATTACGGCCAAAACGACTGAGGCTGTTGAAGTTAGCTTGTTTGGGAGATTTGGGCTGAATTTTGAGAACTACTCAAAATTCGACTTCGGGAGTGTTGCGACTAAATGTTCAGCTTTTTTTAGTTTTATTACGACAAAAACTGTTTTTTTTCCAGGAGAAAGTAAAGAACACTTCACTCTATGTGTCTTCAAAGTTGGAATTCCTTAGAGGGGTGAAAAGAACTACTCAAAGTCGGAGTTGCAGCAGTCTAAATTTATCCTCGTTTTTTCATAATTCTATTACGGTCAAAACCGCAGAAATTAAAAACGCTTTTTGCAGCAGCAAATAAACAATTCTTCACTATATATATTTGCTTAAAGTGCGGCTTCTTCAGATGTTTGTGCTGAATTTTCATAACTACTCTAAGTAGAACGTACGACTTTTGCGACAATATTTCTCCGCGTTTTTTCAAGTTCTTCTACCACCAAAAAGCTGAGATTCAAACGCGTTTATTTCAGAAGTAAATATAGTACATTTCAGTAGATATTTTCTGAAATTTTGGTTTCCTCATATGCTTGGGTGTATTTTAAGAATTAGTCAAATTGGTACCTTTACGACCAAATTAATGCGCTTTTTTCAAAATTTCTTCCACTAAAATAGCTAATATTTCGTAAACGTAAAAACATAAACGTTTTTTGCCAAATAAATAAATCAGATTTGACTCTATGCTTTTTCAAAGTCTGGTTCTCGCAGAGTCTTAGGCTGAATTTTCAGAACTACTAAAACGGGGACTTGCGACTTTTGCGCATAAATTTATCGGCGTTTTTTCTTCAAACTTCTATTACAACCAGCACAGCTGAGATTCAAACGCGCTTTTTCCAGAAGCAAATAACAGACACTTTACTTGAGACTTTGTTGAAGTTTGGTTGTTCTTAAAACTGGAACTGAATTTTGAGAAGCACTCAAACTGGAACTTGTGACTTTTGCAATTACATTTCTACGCGTTTTTTCAATTTTTTTTACGCCCGAAAAAATTAAGATTTAAAGCGGTTTTTGCAGACGAAAATAAAGCACACTTCGCTCTATAATTTAACAAAGTTTGCTTCCTGCAGAGTCTTCGGCTAAATTTTCAGAACTGTTCAAAGTGGGACGTGCCAATTTAGCGGCAAAATTTATTTGCATTTTGCCAAAGATTTTTTACGGCTTAAGCAGCTAAAATTAAAAAGGATTTTCTGTAGAAGTAAATAAAATACTCTTCATGTTATGCTATCGCAATTTTTTTGCGATTTCGGGAATCTTGGGCTGAAGTTTCCGAACGTCTTAAAATGGCACTAGCTACTTTTACAGGTAAATTCGTGCGCGTTTTTTTTTAAATTTTATTACGGCGCAAACAGCTAAGATTGCAAAGTGTTCAAAATTTGTAATTATTAAAAACGTGAGCTCACATTTGAGAGCCACTGAAAGTGGGACGTTTGCCACTAAATTGATTCGCGAATTTAAAAAATTTATAAAGCACATTTTGCACTCTGTTTTCTCAAAGTTTTTCAAAGGCGTTCTCTTAGAGGCTTGCGCTGAATTTTGAGAAGAGAACCTCTAGCTGGATACCTTTTGATAAATAATTCGTTTAACCAAGAGATAGGAAAAATACGGGGAAATTGTGCTTTTTCGATGAGAAAATCACCCAGCAAAAAAGGTTTGTAAAAACAATTGATTTCAGTCTTGTTAGCGCTTTCAATTTCGACTCCGGAACAATTTTCGCCTGAGGAAAGTCAGCGCTTTGGATAAATAGAGAAATCATATGCTGGATCTACAATAATTAAAGGCACTGATGTTTTTTCAAACCTTTTCCGTGCTTTTATCGATTGGATTAGCTGTTTTTAGCGTTTAGTTTACATCCCAGATGATGAACCCATTCTGGGGATAAATTCACTGGGGATAAATCTTACCACTTGGACAGTCAGTTAACTAAAGTTACGTGTTGGCATTCAGAAAAAAACACACATTTGTATATACAGGGTTATTCACGCTATACGGCACGGACGTTTGCGGCTAGCCCGTTTGTTTTTTGCAAAGTATTATTTGATGAATCCACAGACGCTTA